CTGTGAGGAAACATTCTTCCATCCCCGTTACTTTGCTCTTGAAGCACTGCACATCAAGTATGTATATATATTTTATCTCTTGTCTGAAGAGTAAATCCTTCATAGTTTGTTTTCCTTTACTCCCCTTCCCTCAGTTCCTTATAATGATGTCAGACCCATAAGGAGGTTTCAATAATAAGTAATTGATTAGTTTCCATGCCTCCTACCTGTGTAATTAATGTTGATTCTCTTTGGATGCTGGATAGGTACCTTAGATTTGAACATAAATTCTGAAACTGTCTTGTTTTCTTCATAAGTTTTTTTTATCATTTTCAATGTACATCGTAGTCTTTTTTGTAACATGACACACAGTAGTCTTTTCTTTACTATTTCATGCCTTTTTAAGCTCATCTTTTTTTTATGTTTTAGTTTTAGATATACTTTTATTTTATGTTTAGGAGTATTTTACCTGCATGTATATATATATGCATCATGTGTCTGGTGTCTTCTCATTGGCTCTAGGATTAACTGAAATTTTTAACATGGTCTGTAAAGCCCTGCACAGTTGTCCCCTCTGTGTGCTCTTCAGCTTTATCTCTACAATGCCTTTGGCGTTGTTCTCCTCTCTTGTCAGTGTGTATACTGTCTGTCTTTCTGTTCCTCCTTTCAGGTACATGGCTATTGTATATAGTTCCTGGAAGTGTTCACAGCTTGCCAAGTTGGCTGGCCCAGAGCTCCTGGCTATCCTCCTGTCCTTGTCTCTCCTGGTAGGGGTCCTGGAAGTAGGGAAGCTTGCTGCTCTATTGCAGCTGTTCTTTCATAAGGGTTCTTGGGTTGTCAGGCTTGTGTGACACCTGCTTTGCTCACTCACTCATCTCCCTAACTTTTGCACAATTTATTTATTTATTTATTTTTGGATTTTTGAGACAGGGTTTCTCTGTGAAACTTTTTGGAGTCTATCCTGGCACTTGCTCTGGAGTCCAGGATGGCCTCGAACTCACAGAGATCCACTTGCCTCTGCCTCCCAAGTGCTGGGATTAAAGGTGTGTGCCACCAACGCCCAGCCCACAGTTTAGTTTTCATTTTAATTTTTCCCCTTTTCCTATCAATGTATTGCTGTTCCAGCTCCTCATCATTGTTCTCTCTCTTTTCTCTCCTCTTCCTCTTCTGAGGCATGTCTCACTCTGAGCCCGATTGGCTGCAACTTGCAGCAGCTCTCCTATCTTAGCCTTCCAAGAGCTTGTTTTATAGATAGGTATGAGCAGAAGGCACAGCATTTTGAGATTTTAGACTAGTGCTGCTCAAGTTGATTTTGAACTCATCCTCCTGACTCAGTGTCATGAATAACGGGGACTGTGGGTATACATCACTGTACCAAGCACTACTTTTTAGAGAATGTTGTCAGATCATCTCAGGGTTCAATAACGCATTAACTTTAGTAGTAGTTATATATGTATGTATGTATATATGAAACAAATATATAGAAATAAAAATGAGTGTTTATTACTGAATAAGACACTGGGCCCTTTAAACTTTTTATTTTGTTTTTACTGGGAAGAGTGTGTTCTAGACTAAAATTTCTACTTGTGGTTACATTTTTCTGAAGACAAAAAAATCAACTTACAATTTTTTATGGTGTTGTATTGGTCTTTTGGGGGAGGGGTACATTTTAGAAAAGTGTGCTTAAGACAAGTAAAAATGATTCAGTTTTTCCAAATCCTTTTGTGTTTCTAGGTAACTTGAACTACTAAGTACTGCAGCCATGGAGTCCATGCTTAATAAATTGAAGAGTACTGTTACAAAAGTAACAGCTGATGTCACTAGTGCTGTTATGGGAAATCCTGTCACCAGAGAATTTGATGTAGGTCGACACATTGCCAGTGGTGGCAATGGGCTGGCATGGAAGATTTTTAATGGCACAAAGAAGTCAACTAAACAGGTTAGTTATTAATGTAATATGAAACAGTAACATACCAAATTCCATAGAATGATTTCATTTTTCTATTGAGAAGTGCCAAAAGTTCTCAAGTGGCTTTCCCCTGAGACGGTTAGTTTAGGCTGTCTGCATACTCCACCTGATTGTGTAGTTGGGGCTGCCCTTGAACTTGAATGTCCTATTTGTACTCACCACACGTGAGGATTATAAGGATTGCCAGTGTTTTTGAATACATTGTTTGTGGTTTTGGTATGTCTAGGTTTGGGTGAGTATGTGTGTGGAAGCTGGAGGTCTACATTGGGATGTCTTCCTAAGTCATTCTGCATGTTCTCTTTTGAGACAGAGTCTCTCATTGAACCTGGAGCTCACTGGTTGTCTAGACTGACTGGCCAGTGATCTCTGGGCATCAGTCCACTTGTCTCCTCCTGGCAGGCACATGTTGCTGTGCCAGCTCTTATGTGGGTGCTGGGGAACTTAAACTTGGATCTTCACGTTTGCACAGCAAGCACTTTACCCCCTGACCCATCATCATTCCAACCCTTTAATGACATCTTAAATGGACTCTTTAGGTCTCGTTTTGTTTTATGAAGTCAAAGCAAATGCTTTTAAATACCTACTGTATCTCCTGGTTGCAGATTCATCATTGTTTTTTAAATTAATTTATTTTTTATGTAATCCCAGTTACTCCTCTCTCTTCTTCTCCTGTTCCCCCCCATCTGCTCCTGGGAGAGGGTAAGACCTCCCCTAGGAAGTCTACTAAGTCTGTCCTTGTTGAGGCAGGACCAAGGCACCTCCCCACACCCTACATCCCTATGTCTAGGCTGGGCAAGGTATCTCTCCATATAGAATGGGTTACACTAAGTCAGTTTGTGCATTAATGTTAAATGTTGGACCCACTGCCAGTGGCCTCATATATTGTCCCAGCCACACCATGGTCACCTATATTAAGGGAGTCTAGTTCAGTCTTATTCAGTTTCCCCATTTGTCAGACCTGAGACAGTGATCTCTCACTAGCTCGGGTCAGTTTATTCGGTGGGTTTCCCCATCTTGGTCTTGACTTCTTTGTTCATATTATCGATCCTCCTCACTCAATTGTACTCCAGGAGCTTGATCCACTGGTTAATTGTGTATTTCTTCATCTGCTTCCATCTGTTTGTGGAAGAAGGTTCTAGCTTCTCTGGGGTTGTAGATTGTAGGCTGGGGATCTTTTGTTGTATGTCTGGTATCCACTTACGAGTGAGTATATAATATATTTGTCTTTCTGTGTCTGGGTTAGCTCACTCAGGATGTTTTTTTCTACTTCTGTCCATTTGCCTGCAAATTTTAGGATGTCATTGTTTCTTACTGCTGAGTAGTACTCCATTGTGTAAATATACAACATTGTCTTTATCCATTCTTCAGTTGAGAGGCATCTAGGTTGTTTCCAAGATCTGGCTATTACAAATAATGTTGCTATGAACATAGTTGAGCAAATGTCCTTGTGGTGTGAATGTGTCTCCTGCGGGTACATGCCCAAAAGTAGTATTGCAGGGCTTTGAGGTAGGTTGATCCCTAATTTTCTGAGAAATCACCATACTGATTTCCACAGTGGTTGTACAGAGTTGGCACTCCCACCAGCAATGGAGGAGTTTCCCCCTTCTCCACATTCTCTACAGTATAAGCTGTGCAGATTCATCATTTTACATATCATCTTGCAATTTACTTCTGCTTGAGTAATTAAAAAAAAGTCATGTTAGCATATTATATGGGAATATTCAGTGAAGTGTATGTTTTAGGATAAATATTCTCAGTCTGTAAATTTAGTAATTCTCAATTGTGACTGTTGAAATATCGTGTTAAATTTTTGCCAGCATTAAGTATGCCTTATTTAGTACTTTTGTTGTTGTATAATAGCACTAGAGAATTGCACTTGGTTTCAAATGAGCTAGGTAAGGACTTTACCAGTGAGTTGTACCTCAGCCCAGTTGCTGTATTATTTGCTCTTTTAGTCTATAGAATTATAGAAAGTACATTTCTTCAGTTTTTATTTTGTTTATTAACTATTCATTTGGAGTAGTTTGAATGAGTTATATTGATAAAAATTGGCTTAAGACACCAGGGAATGTTCTTAGAAATGTAAAGGGTGATTATTTAATTAACTGATTATGTATACTTGTGGAATGGTGGCTGTGCACATGAATGCATAGACCTTTAGAGGCCAGAGACACAGATCCCATGGAGCTGGAGTTACACATGGCTGTGAGCCACCTTGCATGAGTGCTGTAACTGAATTTGGGTCCTCTGGAAGAGCAAGCAGTTTGTGCTGTTAAACACAGAGCTGTCTCTCAAGCTCCTGTTAAAATTTAAAAATATGGATAACTTGTTTTTTTTACATATACAACTGTACCTGTGGTGGAGACAATGTGATGTCTCTTTCTTTTTACCTCGTGGGTCCTGGGGTTGGAAGTCAGGTTGTCAGGCTCGTTGGCAAGTGCTTTTACCCACATCTCACTAGCCCAATTAGTGTTGCAGTTTATTATCAGTTTGTGTTGGGATTGTAAGGTTAGAAATACCAGGTTTGGCTAGACAGTGGTGGAGCAGGCCTTTAATCCCAGCACTCTGAGAGGCAGAGTCAGGCAGATCTCTGAGTTCAAGGCCTGCTTGGTCTACAGAGTGAGTTCCAGGACAGCCAGAGCTACACAGAGAAACCCTGTCTTGAAAAATAACAAAAAACAAAAACAAAAACAAAAACAAACCAAAAAAATCCAGGTTTCAATTTCTGTAGAAATAGGATTTTCTTCTATTTATTGCATTTGGTTAGAAATCTATTGAAATTCAAAGTTGATATTTCTCGTAAATGATAGTTGATTTAAATTGTCAATTTTGAACATTGTTTTCTCTTTCAACTGATTATATAAAAAGTGAGTGGTTACTAAGTGTAAACTAGCTGAGTAATCATTAATGTAGTTGTAAATGGATAGTCAACAGCAATATTGCAGATTGCATTTGTAGTCACTTTCATCTATATATTGCTGAATACCTTAAGATAGACTGTAAGAAATATTGAAATCTTCATTGTAGGAGTATCATAATGTGTCGTTAATAAACTATGACAACTTTGATATTACTAGACAGTATACTTTTGGGGGCACTGCATGTACTTTGAAGACTAACACATTGTTCCACAGTGAATATGAACAATATGAAAATCCTTGCCAGATTTACAGCATGCATTCTTACTAAGGCTCTGGAAATCAATCACCTAGTGTCTTTGTGCCTACTCAGAATTTTAGGGGCTGATGCTCACTTGTTAAGTTTGCTTCACCTCTTAAAATGCCATGGTAAGTAAAGTGGGGGCTTGTATTGTGATGCAGAGAGCAGGAGAGCCAGGACAAATGCTCCAACCACAGCCTGTTGTCAGCTGCTGCCTGAATGTGTGAGCTGGCTTCTCCCAGGTGGTTTTGTTCTACTCTATCTTTCCTCAAATTGTATTGCTTTGGGGAGTGGAAGTACCTGGATAAAGCAGTGTGTTGTGGGACTTAGGTCATCAGCTTTGGCAGCAAATGCCTTTATTCACTGAGACCTCTTTCTCACTCTACCTCTACATACTTTTTAGGAGGCAGAGGCAGGCAGATCTCTGTGAGTTCGAGGCAGCCTAGTCTACAGGCATCCAGGACTACACAGAGAAAACTTGTCTCAAAAAAAAAAAAAAAAAAAAAAAAAAAAACCCAAAGGACAACAACAAAAAGAATATTTGAGTTTGAACAGATATCTCTTGTGGCTCTGAGATGCTTGCACACTTCATTATATAATTTAGATTTACTTCTTGAACTATATTATTTTTGGCAGACTTCAACTTAATATTAAGCAAGTAGCTTTAAAAAATGTAAATCAGCTGGTCGTTGGTGGCACACGCCTTTAATCCCAGCACTGGGGAGGCAGA